GGGGGGGGGGGGTGTGCATGTGGCTGCTGTGACTTACCCCATGCTAAGCGAGAGGCCATCTTCTTTATTGACATCAGGCCTCGCCATGCAGAGATTCTTGAGGTCTCTGAGCTTTGTAAAGCAACTCACCACCTCGTTCGGATCGGGATGCCCTTACGGAGACATGCATTGCATGATAAGCAAACACACACAGCATGGCAGAAGCAAAAGCACAGCCCGTGTTGTTCGCACGTACGCACCTATGGTCATGAGTCCCCTGAGCTTAACATTTGGACAGGCGTTGATGTGGTCGACTAGCGGAATAAGGGCCTCGGGCTCGACGCCTGACTTGGTCTCTTCTGCTGATGTCTTGACCTCAACAAACACATCGACAGTCCGATTCAACTGGCTGCACACGTCATCCAGCTTCGTCGCAAGCCTGACATGCATACACACGCACGCACGCACGCAAGCACACACGCACACACGCACACACACAGAGAGAGAAGCAGTCCATTGAGGAAGTCGCTTTGAGCAGAGTGGGTCTATCTATCCCCCCGTTCCTTCCTTACCTCGCTTACTTGATACTGTCTACGGTTTCGATGAGGTGGAGATTGGGCACTTCTGCACGCGACAGGACGCGCAAGAGAGCAAGAACACAACACAACACAACACAACACAACACAGCAGTAGAGCATCGAATCTATGGCCAATGCAATCGAGCTTTCACTTTCCCACCCAGGAGCTGCTTGCACTTGTTGCTCTGAACGTGGCCTATCATATGCCATTTGATGTCATCCGGCAGCTGACGAGCCTTCTCCACAAGCTCCTGAACGCAAGTCAAAGACGCAGCGCATGCCATTCATGGACGGCCTGGCCGTCTGTCCATCGACAGGCGACCCTGCGTCTTTCTCCTGTCACCTACCTGCGCGTACTGCACCCATCCAGATCCATACGTTAGCAATAATCACAGACAACAAGCAAGAGAGCCAGCCGTGCAAGTACGCTCATGACGAGGGACATCCTCCCCCCCAGTGAGTGGTTGTGGTTCCCCCTCTCTGCTTACGTTCTCTCCAAAGTGCTTCATTCAGCCCGAGGCAGGTGAAGCCAACAGAAAGGTCCAGCAAGAGTGTATATGTGTCCGGGATCGATACCTGTGTTACGTACGTTGCCTACCCTCTGTCCCGCATCGTAGGCGGCTCGGATGTACTCCACGGGCTTCGTCTTCGAAACTGCGAGAAGCAAGGGGTCCCTGAGTCCCAAACACAACCACCACCACGATACAAAGAAAAGCGGAAAAGACTGTCGTCAGAGTTGCGTACCTCATCCCGGATCTTTCCGCTGCATGGACCTGTGTCAGTCCTGCGATGAGCTCTCTCGTCCTGAGAAGCCGCTCGACGACGTCATCAGTCTCCGCGCGCCCCTCCCCGCTCATCCTTCCACGTAGCACGAAGGAGAAACGCGGATGCAATCGGCACGCAGGCTGCAACAAGGAGACCTTGTCCGTAGCAGACAAGAATGCTGCCGCAGCAGACACAACGTTCATCCTCCTCGCGATCCTCCAACTGCGAGCTGAAAGCAATCACGCCGAGGGCTGATGGACCAAGGTGAGATGCGCGTCGACACACACGCTCACTTGAAATATAGTTTGTGCAATTTCTGCCGTCTTGGCCCTGGGCGGCAGGTGAAGAGAAAACCAGTCCATGATGCGTGTCGGCGCCAAAGTGAGCGTGAGTGGTCGAATTGGGCACGTTCGCTTCGCAGGAACCACAAAGGTGCAGAGCATGCAGTGCTCGTGCTCAAGACTACGTCGCCAGAACGAGTGTGATCTTCTCTTTCATTCAGTTCGCCCAAGGACAGTGGATTGGTGTTGAGCTTGATGTAAGTGAAAGGTGATGTTCTCTCTGCTTATGCTTAACGGTGGCCTCCGTGCCTCTTGGCCGGTGAATCTTCAGGAGCCCGAGGGCAAGAACGATGGGACGGTGCAGGGCGAGAAGTATTTCAGCTGCAAGCCAAAGCATGGCATCTTCGTCCGCCCTCCACAGGTGGGGCCATTGCAGCGAGGCACTCTTTGTCGGCCCTCGGTGTATATTGTATGTAGCTAGCTGCCTGTCCTGTCTGTCTGTGTGTCGTGGCTGTCTGTGTGCTGCTACGTGCAGGTAACGCTGATCGCGGAGGCCGAGGAGGAGTCGCCAGCGCCTTCTGCTGCGGCGGCTCCGCCCACTCCAACACCAGATGTGTCGGTGCCGTCGACACCCCAGCCCCAGGCCCAACCGTCAGAGGGTGGGCGACGCACCCCAGCCACAGAGCCAGCGGGTTAGCCTCCAGCAGCCAGCCTTGTCACATCCTGTCAGCCAGCTCTTTACCCTGTGGGTGTCTCTCTTTCATTGGCTCACAGCAGGCCGTAAGACTGTCACTCCTCCCGTTAGCGTTGCCACTCCGGGGCAAACTGCCTCAGCGGCGCCTGGGCGTTCCCAGGCGGGCAGTGCAACAGCAGCACCGGCCATTGCGCCCACCGAGCAAGGCACAGGACAGTTGACAAAGGTGTGCAGAATCGACAGGACCTGCCACTATGTAATTGTGAGCCCTGACGTTCCTTCGTTGCTGCAGGAGCGAGACACCTGGAAGAGCAAAGCCTCCGCGCTGCAGGAGAAAGTGGAACTGCTGAATCTCGAGAAGGAAATCAAGGACGCCCGGATTGAGGAGCTAACGGTGGAGCTCGAGCTAAAGGTAGGGGACACGACCACTGCACGCCATCTTCTACTGGCGTCCGTGATCGTGTGTCTGTGTGCCATGTGTTGATTGTGTACACCCGGGTTTACGTCTGGCCAGGCACATGAGCTCGAGATGCACAAGACGGAGAGTGACTCATCTTACTTGGCATCTAAGGGTGACTCATCTTACTTGGTACCGATCGGAGGGTGACAGTAGAGGTCACAGCTCCTGCGCCACCCTTCTCTGGCTGTGACACTCAGGTCGACAAGTACAAAAGAGCTCTGCAGAAGCTGTACCAGGAGTCGACTGCGGAGATCGCTCGGCTGACTTCCGTCGCTGACAGCCTCCGATCACAGGCAAGTCTGCAGCTTGGACCATCCGTTTGCTTCGTCGCACATGGCGTGTGTTTCAGCTTGCGGCTACTGAGGGAGCCGGGGCCAAGAAGCAATCCGTGGAGCAAGACACTGGCCGCGTCTCGAAGGTGGTGGAGGCTCTCACCCAGAAAACTGTACAACTTGAGGAGCAAAACAGGAAGCTGCAGGTGAATGATGCAAGGACCGATCGATCGCTCAGCGGCTCCCTCATGGTTCCATGCCATTTGCGTCAGAGTATCATTGATGAGCTGATGGAGTCCCGCTCGGTGGACGAGGAGCTCTACCAGCTTCACTCGGGGCTACAAACAGATCTGCGGGTGAACATGAGCCTTGTGCGCCAATGTGAAAGGCATTGAGCTTCTCTCAGGTCGAGTTAGAGGCGAAGGAGGCGGAGCTCCAGCAGTACCACGACATCATTTCTCGTCTACGAGACGAGAGGATGGAGGCTCGAAGGGTGATCGAGCTCTACCGAGAGAAGCTGAAGAGCTTGGAGCAAGAGCTAGCCAGCGGCGGAGGAGGCCGAGGAGGCATTCAACTCGAAGCCAGTGTCTCCACCTCCTCGTTAGGCATTCAGCTGGACTTGAGAGTGGCAAAGACGACAGGAGACATCATCAAACGACAAGTGGGTGTGAAAGAAACGGGCGCATCCTTCGAGACACTATCACCTCGTGACCTCGTATGCAGGTGGAGCTTCTGGCATCGTGTATCCCAGAGAACGTCTTGGGCCACCATCTCGAGTGTTACGTGGTTGTATGCCAGCTGCTCCGGTGAATGACATGCCACTGTAGAAGTGCTTATCTCACTGTGTTGCCTGGCACCTGCCCTCGAAGGTCCTTCCATATGGGTATCTTCTTCATCGAGCACATCTTTGAGCACTCACTGCGTCCTCTCGTCATTGCGCACATGGAGAACCCAGACGCTGTTCCACCCGCCATTGGATTCCTTCGGTGGGGCACACATGCATCCTACACAAACACATGCATCCCCATGCAAATCGTTGTTTGTCTGTGCACCACAGGTGGAAATGCTCGGCAATCTGCCAGGTTGCCAAAACAACCTTTCAGGTTCGCACAGCGCTTTCTGAATCCATTAGTGAATTGCGCGTTCACCAATGGGTTGCTTCATCACAGATCTCAGTCCTGCTTGCGCGGCTTCGACGCTTGTCCGTTGATGAGTACATGAAGATCACACAGAACGCATCGCTAGTCAAGATAAGTGCCTTTGGTAAGCCGATATGGCAGCTCAGTCAAGATCGCTGCAGAAGGACTTCTACGCTGTTCATTTTACATACATTCAGTCGAGCGCTCGCTGGATTCAGTCATCGCTGCCTGCCGCGAAAACACTCTTTCTTCGGCCACGCCCATGTCTGAGATTGAGGTGAGCGACGGTGCGTGAGTGGGATTGATGACTCTGGCTCGAACATTCTCAACAGGCCGCGTGTTCGCAGCTCGAAGCCAGTGTGAAGTCTGTCGCGGGTAGGGGAAATCGGGATGCTTTGAAACTGCGACAACAATTCCTCATCGACTCACTGTTACAGGCTCGGACCTGAAAGACATCGACGGCTGGATTGCTGGCTCAGTTGTTGCTCGAATCCTCTCCTCGCTCTGCTTGATGCTATGTCGCGCCGCTCTCAACAGCAGCATCCTCCAAGCCCTGAGAGACAAGAACAATCCCAACCTAGGCAGGGCGGCAAAGAACCTCTGGGATGGAGCGTTACGGCTGATGGAAAGGTGAGCCCGTAATGAAAATGAAGAAAGGCATCCTTGTCTCATGTCTGCATCAGGTTGAACGCCGAAGGGCTTGACTGGCAGCCTGCGGCGACGACAGGTGCACCCCCGACGAAACTGCTTGACGCCGTCCTGAAGGTATCAAGGGAAGGCATCCCATTCGAAATCTGGCGAGAGGACACGCGTGTATGTTTCAAGCAGGCGGGGGAGAAATTAGAGAATCTTCTTATGAGGTCGGATGCTGACGAAAAGGCTTCAAGCGCTGTAAAGGATTGCCTTGAGGTAAGGCCTGCTTCAACGCTACCAGATATCGGCACGTTGTCCACTGAGGCGTTTATTGGCCTTCATCATCAGACGTCGAATCGATCCGTCGCTGAACTGCTGTCCATAGGAGCTGGCAGAAAAGCAAAGAACACGGCAGCGTCTGAGCCCTGGCAGGTGGGCTGTTAAATGATCCCGGAAATGGGATGTTGAGCGGTGTTCCGTTGAGCTGATTCAGGAGGCTCCACGGCTTGTCCGCGAGCGACTTAATCAAGTTGGTACCTTGGAGAAGCAACTTGCGGACTCGACGGCTTTGCAACAGCAGCAGTCGGAAATCGCAGCAAATGTAGGCCGATTGTTGACTATTTTCTGCTCATTGTCGTCGTGTCTGGTGTGACAGCTCGAAAAGGACCTAAAACTGCAAATGGAACAAAGCAGAGACCTCGAGCGCAAACTGGGAGAGCTCAAACTGCGCGTGGAGAAGTGAGATGAGAGGTCACTGTGCCAGGATGATGCAAATCTCCCTTTCTGTTTAGGTGTGCTTTGCTTGAAAGCGAAGTTGATAAACTCAGAGGGCAGCAAACGTACTACGTCAGCAGTCTCGAGGAAGTTCAAGCAGAGTTGGAAAAGGCACTCGCCCAAAAGCGGGAACTGTCACAACTTGGGGAACAATATAAATCGAAACTTGAAGGTGCGCCTTTCAACGACACCTGTCGGTAGTAAATGTGAGGAGTGCCTTTCGCAGAGATGCAACACGAGAGCGAGGCAAAAAGCAAAGCCCGGAAACACCAAACGGAGTCGGGTGGCACGATTCAGGTACCGAGAAAGGATTCTGTGGCCCGAAGTGGTGTTTCGACTTCTCTTGGCTCTTGCCGTCAGGAACTCGAGTCCTTACGGAATGTGATTATTCGACTGCAGAAAGAGGTTTTCTCACTGCAGATTGGCGGAATCGACTCAGAATTTGCCACCCCTTACATAGCCAACCTCGTCGACGCTTTGCCTGAGAACCACCCTTATTTGGCACATCACGTCGATGAAGCATCTTCGCCGGCTGCCGGAAAAACAGAATCCACGCAAAAGCTTGGTAAGTGACGGTGACGATTTTGTAGGCAAGAAGGTGAAGGGTCAACATTGGTCCTGGCAGAGGAATCGACACAAGATGGTGTTACACGAGAGGTCGTCAATCATCTTTCTCGATACCGGTAGCGGAATCGCGTGCCGATGTGCCTCACGGTCTATATCTTCTTTCATTGTCTTCTTCTATTCAGGCGTCTCAGGCGTCTGATACTTGCATCGAAGGCTCAGACAGCGGTTGTGGACATAGCCAAAGGTGAGCAGGACGTTTTCGCTCTTTTTCGCGGGGAATCCCTTTTCTCCGCAGATGCCCCGATTGAGGATCTCAAGAGATCGAAGGAGCATCTGGAGAAAATGAAGTTTGACTGCCTTTCGACATGCGCGTCGGTGACTCGGGCTCTGAAAAAACGGTAGCCCAAAAGCACGTCAATTATCCAGCTGCAGGCTTGTGGCGTGTGCAGGCTGGAAACAAGCGTGTGTCAACAAGGTGAGGGTTTCGCGCAATACCCACCGCTTGACATCACTCGGGCCATTCAACCAAGAAGTGCGGGCGACAAGTTAGCTGCAAGGATTACCCTTCCCTCGCAGGTCGAAGGAGCGACCGCAATAAAGGCCGGTTGCCTGCAGGTCGACGCATTGTACAGGAAGGCGTTTGCACACTGACCTGACAAGGCCTGTAGATTCACTAGCTTGACTAGATTTTCACGCGAGAAGACATTTGTAGCTTAAAGCCCGCCGAATCCTGGCCGAAAGTAAAGAGCCTTTCACAGAAAGCCTTTCACAGAAACCCTAACTCTGGTGTACGAGGCTGCGCTGACATATCCTCGCTCCTTCCCCATATCCCCATCGTCCCCATCGCCAATGGCGAAAAAGGCAAAGTGGGACCCGGATCTCGAACCGTTTATGAGAGAAGTACTGCGTGGCGTTCGAGTTCGCCAAGCGGTCGAGGTCAGTGACACCTGTGGCCATGCCGAGCAAGTTGTCAGTTTTAGGATCCTCCTCCAGGTCGGACGTCGGGCAGTGGACTATTTCAGAGGCCAAGAGTTCGTACGCTTCGTCCTCAAGGTAGCTGCAAACACATCGATTTCCAGATGCACGCATGTCATTCTGTCTTTGTGCACACACACGCTTTGTTGCTCAAGAACGCAGATATGCTTCGGAAGCGAGTACGTCTGGCCACTCATACATAAGTGATGTGATGCGTTACCCCTTCTGTGTTTAAGCGACTCGTCGTCTCCTGCTGGTGCTGCCTCGCAACTACAGGCACCCAAGGCGTGCGATGGCATCGACCTCAAGGATGTGAAGGATGCTGAGAGGCTTGGCGATAGGCTCATCAAGCGCGGCTTCGTATACAGGTAAGCTTTGCTCATTGCCTCTCAGTCAATTGATTATTCCATTCATTTCTTTCTGAATCAGGGCCCAGTAAGTCACGAATGATGTCCAGTAAGCCCGATCGATGATGAGTGACCGTCTGATTTGTTTGTAGGTATAAGCCGGTAACCTCAAGAAGTCGTTGATTCATCAAACTTGGCTTGGCTAAATCACATCATCATTTCTCGAATTCCTAGATGTCCAAGCCCTCCGAGGAGAATGCAAATGAGGGTAAGCCTAGTGGGACAGGCGCGTCCACATTAACCGATGGCGACACTTCTTCTTCCGTGTGTCCCCTCTGCTCAGCGGCTCGTCGTCCAAAGTGGCCAAAAAGGCTGATTGCGACCCAAAGGTTAGCATGGCGCGCTTCGGTCAATCAGCAAGACAAGACCTCTGTATATGTTTCAGCCAACAGTTTGATGAATCCGCCTTCTTCATTGTCTTGTACGAGGTGGTTCAAAGCTGTCTTCTCTTCAACAATTCCACTGATCCTCTCTTCCTGCTTTGTTTAAGGGAAGCAAGGCCTGGTCGTACATTCTACTGACGCTAATCATTGGAGGAGTTCTGGTATCCCAACCCTTTTGTCCGGTCTCGACGAATTCTTGTCATTGAGTCTTGATGGTTGGTTTGTCGGCTCACAGGCCATGTGCCTCTTCCCCGCATGGCCACTCTCCATGAAGATAGGTGCGCATTTGAATGACTAAGACAGCAGCAAAACCACGTTCCAAGCTTGCAGGGGTCTGGTACATTAGCGTCTTCTTCATGACGGCCATGGTACGACAAAAGCGAGATGGTTTTCGAAGCGAGATGATTTCCAAAGCGAGATCTGTTCGTCAACAGCTTCTTCTTGTGATCGGGCGATTGATCATCTTCGGACTTTTCTGGTTCATGGGCGTTGATTTCTGGATACTGCCCAGTAAGGAGTTATTTCAGAGCTCCCTTGACTTGATCCCTTCACCGCCATGATCTGTAATAACAGATCTATTCAACGAAGATGCTGGCGTTTTAGACTCCTTCATTCCCGCCTACTCGGTAGGTAGTAACGCATTGCAAGCCACATTTGAGGGGATCATTGCGTTCCGGGTCAGTTTGAGTACAGGGCTGACGACTGGAAGATGTTTGCAATTCGGGTCTTCTGCTTCGTCTTGCTTTGTGGTCGGAACGGATCTCGTTTTCTGTCATTAGCGTGTTGGCATCCGTATCTCTTTTTTGCAGGGGGCTTGTATCAACTCAATCAAGTTCACTCGGTGGATGACATGAGGTATGAACCCGGCGCCAGCTTAAAGGAAAGGAGCAACACACCGTAATTCATGTCATTTTTCCCTGTACCAGGAACTTCGCGGAGACGTGACCTAGGAAAAAGAAAGTTGACTGGAGGGTTCAATTGCGGTTTGTTTCTTCTCTTTTTTTTCACCGTCAGCTCATTCATTGACCTCCTTGAATGGGGAAAGAACAAGCTTGCCGCTCGTAAGAAACTTTCTTGATAAAATTGTTCAATCAGATGCGTGTCGCGTTTTCGTTCAGCTCCCCAGCCAACACGGCGCTTTCCGTAAGGATTGGGTGGGTGAGCGGGTGAGTCTGGCAGGGCACCAGTGTTGCTAGGACCCTTCTCTTGCAGATCGCTTGACGAAATCTCGACGACGGAACATGACGACGCCCCTTCATCAGAGCCAACACCAAAACCTTTTGAGTGCCTTGCGCCCTGTGGAGTGGAGCCGGACGAGGACTTGCTGACATCGTGCAAAACCCTTACGGTCAGACGGTTGCGGTCTGGCGGACGGCAGAATCCTATTTCTGGGTTGTGCTGCAGGAGCTCGAAAAGACCTCGTGCTTCCGCAAATGCACCGACTCAGAGAAGGACAAGTTGACCGAGGCTCGTGTTCTGCAGTGTGTCAGCGAACAAGAGCTTTAAGACGTATGTATCGCATATGTATCGCATACATGGTCACGTGCGTACTCTTCCGACGGAAAAGACTTTCTTTCCAATTGACATTTACGAGAATCATCATGAAAGTCTATACAAGTGTCAACTTTTCATTTTCTTCTCCGCTTCTTCCCCATTGCCGAGATCAGTCGCTCTCTTTCGCTTGGAAGATGGCTTCGCTTTGCCCGGGCCGTCGCCTTCCCTGCGGATTAGCTTTACAAGCGTCTCAACGCGAAGCCTCAGGTCCTGGGACGTTCGAGATCTGCGACACCAAGATGAGCTTCGCTCAAATCGCCGTATGCCGTTTATGTTCGGCGTACCTGAAGTACCAATCGAATCGCCATCGCGGATCCCTCCTGAAGATTAACAACAAATCAAATGTGGTATCGTCTCCGCCTCGTGCTTCTCTTTGGTGACCGGATGAAGGCTTTGATTTCGTCCCATCTTCCGTACCCTGCAAATAGCCGATTTACCAGGTTGAAAGACAGATCACAATATGCCTACCCAGAAGATTCGTCACGTTCAAGAGATAGCGGTCATTGTCCTCTGTGAAGTGCCGGATCTTCTGCGTCCCGTAGCTCAGAATGCGAAGCTGCTCCCACGGGAATCTGAAAATGGATATGTGAAGTGCCGTATCACGTGGCTCTCGCTGGTCAGCTGGTCAACCACCGTACCTATAAGACGACACTTTGGCCCGTATTTCTTGATTTGTCTCATCATTGATTCGTCTTTTCGTCTCTGCCGCTTCAATAGCCATGATCTTCTTGTCTGCGCCGGGTATCTCGTGATACCTGTATTACCAGCGGCGTCGAAAACGGATGTAGGCTGCTTCTTTTGACCTACCGCTCCCAGAATACAGTCGCGTAGCCTGACGACACAGGCAGAACACGTCCGACCTGAATAATTTCTGAACAGGCCCACTTACGTCTAACTTCGTTGACATCCTTTCCCGGCATGTCTGCAGCAATCCTCTCGATATTAGAACGACCGTGCTCAATGCATCCCTTAACGAAGTCGTTGTAGTCGCTCTTCTTCCAAGTGCCAAAACCGTCCTCGAGCAGCTTCTGCTTTTCCTCAGTGAGTTCCTTCAAGAAAAGCCTTCTCTCTTCCTGTCCTGTCTCGCCGAGCTCGTCTTCGTCTTGAGCCTGACGGAGTGAAGACGAGATTTCATGAAGTCGACGAATGAAGTCGACGAATATCGTGTTGCACCTCTCTCGTTTCTTTCTCGACTTCGTGAAGCTCAGTCAGCCGATCCATTTGGAAGAATTGCCTGTCAGATGTGAGACGTAAAGTGGTGGGTGTGTATATGATCCCTTCGCGCACGCACCACTCGTGCATGTGAGGGAGTTTCTGCATCCCTCTTGGCAGTGCACGACCGCGTTGCAGGTCCTCCTGCAAAACAAAAAAGCATCGCTCCTAATGACCGGCAGAAGCATCAACATACATTTCTTTGCTGGCGGTTGCGTCGGTTGTCGGTCAGCTTCGACAAAGCGTCCAGCCCTGCAAGGAGAAAGCACATGATCTGAGCTCACGTGCCCTCGCGCAACTTCCTCACACAGCTCTCACCGAGCTGCGCCCAGGCATTCTTGTCAGCGTTCCTTCTGACCTCGCTATAGTTCACATTCTCGAACTCGTAGACATTCAGTCCACCGTCCGAGCTGAAGTCGAGCACAGACCGCTTGACGTGTTGTTGCAATTTCTCTGTCATTTCCGCCATCTTCGCTTCTCCTCTGCAAGCCATGGACCAACTTCTTCCGCTTTGTTACGATTTGACCATGAGCTCACCTGGAAAGTATTGCATCGAGATCTTGCTCGGTCACTTCCTCGCCTTCGGTTGCTTTGAAGACCGTGTCAGCTCCGAACTAGTTGAACAGCAGAAAAACGAGCCGTCCGCTGGGCGAATTCCTTCTCATTCATTGCACCTGGATCATGTTCATCAGATCATTTTTGTTCATCGTTTTGCCCTTATCGGAGAATTTGATGGCGGAGTCAAGCTGCAGCTTGAGATTCGCCCTTTCGATGACTTTCTCCTCGATGGTGTTCTCATGAACCAACCTGCGGTCGTATCTGTCTTCAAAGGACGCTGGGTGCATTCAAACTGACCTGTACACGTTCACGGGCTTCTTTTGTCCAATTCGATGCGCTCTATCCATGGCTTGCAGGTCCACCTGGCCAGAGGAAAGGTCGAAAGAAAGAAGATCTTCATAGTTGCTGAGTGCAAGCATTTCATGACCTGAGGATTCCAGTCACTGTCGTACAGAATTACTGTGTCAGCCGAAGCAAGGTTAATGCCAAGGCCTCCGGCTCGTGTGGACAGAAGGAAGAGCTGCTGGAGTGGGCAAACAGGTTCGGGGCCTTAGACTACTTTCTTGCTTCTTCTTACCTTTCTTTCGTGTTCTGGATCGTTGTTGAACTCTTCGATCTGCCGATCCCGGTCCTCTCCGCTGGTATTCCCGTCGATGCGGCAGTAGACGATATCACGAATTCTGCAATAGTCCTCCAGGATATCGAGCATTCCTGATGCCAGCATATCCGGCTTTCAACTCTTTTGCGCTTTTTGCGTTGTGTCTGCCTCACGTGTCATTTGGCTGAAGAGGAGCACCTTAGACCCCTGTTCGAAGAGTCGCCTGAGCAATCGATCAAGGAAGACCATCTTGCCAGCTGCCTTGATGACGTGCTCGCCAAATGCTGCAGGGAGAAAGAGAGACAACTCACTGTTGAGACGGATGAGGAATGTGGCTGCTTACGGTCTTGTGTCTTGTCTTCCAGTCCATCTGTGCCGATGAAAGAAGACCAGAAGAACATCGCGTAATCGAGCCAGTTCCTCGATGTGAAGGCTAACCGAAGAGGTAAGGGTGATTACATGCCTTTCGAAGCTGCATACAGAGGTTCAAGAGCCTCACTCGGCCGCCGCCCTCTCGGTCCTTCATGCATCATAAAGGAGGGAAGAGCAACGACATGCGCGGACCAGGCTGCATTGTGGTTGTCTGTCGGCGTACCTGAAGCGCGTCAACGTTCTTGGCCAGTATGTCTTTGTAGACCCCTTTCTGCATCTCTGCCGTTGCAATGAATGGCAGCTGGATTCTCACGGACATCGATCTCCTGATTGGTCTTACCGCTCAACGGAACGAATAGTAACAACTCCTTCTTGGGTGGTATCTCACGCTCCACTTCAGCCTTCGTCCGTCGCAGCAAGAATGGCCTGACGTCATCAGAGAGGAGACATGACCATGACAGAAGGCGAAACGTGTGGAGAGCCTGCCTGAGAATCTTGTGCAGGTGCTGGACAATCTGCATCGATCTCTGCTCTTTGTCTTCAGCAGAGACGTTCCTGCATAACATCCAGACACAAGAGGTGGTTCCACCACCGTACACGAAAGGGTGTCCTTTTGTGACGTACTCGCCCGGTGATGTAAGATTGAATATCTCATCAAACTCTGCACTGGACGAGAACAGCTCAGGCATGAGGAAATTGAGCAGGGCCCAACTGCGGACACACACACACACACGCACACGCACACGTACACTCAGACGGGGCCGCACGCGTGGATCACGACGTGGGTCTCCTTTTGTCCCTTTCGTACAGTTCGTGCAAATTGTTCTGCAGTGGCGTGCCTACACACAGAGGCAACGGACGCACGTACGTGGCGGGTCTGCAAGGAGTGCAGGTCATCCACCGGTCAACAGAAGCCGAACTTGCGTGTGGAGAAGGCGAACGACCTGCAGGTCGATGCAAACACACCTCGATGTCCACGAGTCTGCACAGTGGTATTCGTCGCAAGCCACCTGGCTGAGCTTGGATGCTTCATTCTTGATCCGGTGGGCCTCGTCTATAATGAGATACCTGGAGGGAAGCGAAGAGACGGAAGAGACATCGCAAGGATCGCCTGTCTGGATCCTCACCTCCAGTTGAATCGCCCAGCAAAGGCGGGCTTCTCTTTGATGATCATCTCGTACGATGTGATACAGACATCAAACTTGCCAGGATGAAGCTCTTCTGCAAGCAGCGCCTGTCGCTCTTCCTGTGTGAGGGTACACCAGCACATAAGCCCGCGTGTTGCTGGAGGGATGCTGGTTGCCGACCTTGTTGCCATGGAACTTGAGGGTCTTGAAGCAGGGGCACCACTTCTCAAACTCCTTCATCCAGTTGCCTTAAACGGAGCCAGGAGGGAAGGAGACAGGAGGGAGGGAGGGAGGGAGGGATGACAGGGGACGTTTGTTTGCATGTTCATTTCCACTTGCTAGCTGACGCCCACCGAGAGTTGACTTTGGAGCCAGTACCAGATGAGGCTGCAGCACAAGCGATCATGTCGTCAGCTGCGTGTGGTTCATGGCTGCAAGTTCTGGACGCTTCTTACCCCGCTGATCTGGTGGTTCTCGCGAAGCCAGGCCAAAATGGCGATGCTCTGAAGCGTTTTTCCGAGGCCCTGCATGCACAAAGATACGCGCTCGTCGTATGCTGGTTCGGTATGCAGCCAGGGCTGCAACCCTTTTGACAGCTGTGAGATACCATCTCATCGGCAAGAATCCCATTGATGCTCATCTCGTACGACCGTATCAGCCAATTAAGGCCCTGTACCCACACGAGCACCATGTGAGGCACGACAGAAGACAGAGTGTACCACTGACCTCCAGCTGGTAAGGCTTGAGCTGCCCGTTCTTGATCAGGGTGGGTTGGGCTGTCGAGACAGACACAACCAGTGGCTGTCACGGGAGTTGAAGATGCGTGTCATTGCCCGTCAGTGTCCCTCCGCACCTACGACTCTCGTGTACTTCCATCCGGCCATTTCCTCATCTTCTGCCTCCCTGAGTCGTGTCAGTCACGGATGAATGGATCCGATGCCTCATATCTCGACCAGCTTACTTCATGAGGATGTCATCTTCCTCCCGCTCTCCCAACCGCTTCTTGCGTCCTTTCTTGGGCCTGCACGATCAGCCAGACCAGCACCAGGTGGCCCATGAGAGCTGGCCTGGCCGCGACCACACCTGCGGTGGCTGCCCTACTTACTTGCTTCCATTGGACTGTCCTGAGACTCGAGCAAGCAGGTAAGCCACATACTGGTCACTCTGCAGAGCATACAAGACACGTACGTGATCACACCAGCACAATGCGCCCGGTGAAGGAAGGTGTCATCGGTTCTGCCGCGCTGAGCCCACTTCTCGAAGGAGGTCTTGCAGCGACAACTGGTTCAAGCGTACGCGTGCACAGACACCAGCACACAGAGGGTGGCATGCGAATGATGGATGTCCCACGAGACAGTACGTACAAGCACACATACCACCTACCTTTTTTCCGGCGCCGCCAAACGCCCTTCTGAGCTCTGAGGCGTGCTAAGATGGACACGAGCAGATAGGGCAGGCAGGAAGGTGACCACGCTGCGGTTGGTTGACTCATCCAGCAGCCAATCTTGTTCAGTGTATCACCTCGGCGTGAGCTGAAGCCTCCGCTTCTACTCTCTCCTCGTCTCTGTCCGCATGTGACATGCCTGAAGCGAAGCAAACGGAACAACATGCAAGAGCCGTCGACGACGTCCACTTGACAAAGCCGCATACCACTAGCCGCGCTCGCCGGTGCTGCTGCTGCTGCTGCTGCCGCTGCCGCTGCCGCTGCTGGCTCCTCAGCTGCAGCTGCAGCGGCAGGCTCTTCCTCACAATCCATCGAACAGCGGCCGTCAGAACTCCAGCACAATCAGCAGTGCATGCAACTCATCTCCCGCCTGAAACCCATCATACACACAAGGGAGAGTCATGTCTGAACACATTCCACAGACGAGCAATGGGACGTGACGCCACATTCTGACCAGAGAGGCGTAGCTCTTCGCCACCGCACTTGTTGAGCCGCTAACAAGAAGGTCTGCTCAGGTGAGGGGAGCGTGAACCTCGTGTACCAGCGGTTCCAGGGAGAACCGTGTCCGGGCTGCGAGCTTAGCTCCCAGCGTGCGAGCTTTCCGATCGAACCCATTGAATGCAGATGGGCACATCTTCTGGCGCTGGGGACGTTGTGTCGGAGTCGTCGAGGGCTGTTGTTGCAGGTGGACATCGGATCTTCCACCCCGTTATAATATTGTCTTGTCATGCTCTGTTGTCTTTCTGTTCTCAGGTTGCGTGGTCTTCTCTGGGCTGCAGGTGGCGATGCCACGAGCGACATGAGTTCGTGTCTGCAGCTAGGCTGTCCAGTTCCGGTTGGTTTGGCTTTTTGTAGGCATTTTGTCACTTGCCGCTACTCCGTGGGAAGGCACCCTTGCTCCGGCACAGGACGCGAAGCATTCGGTACGAAAAGCGAATCAACCGAATTGCTGGCAGTCTGCGTGGAAGGCAGGTTATCGTCATTTTGCTTTACCTGATCATGTCTGTGAGTGTGTAGGCTGGGGCTGATATCGGCGTTGGCAGCAGGTGCCGTTTTCTGGATCAACCATCGACGCAATCTCAGGAGGCGCGAGGCATTGGAGACTCTACAGTAAGAATGGCCTTACATTCTCTAGTGCATGTGTGTGAGCGGCCTGGACGTGATGAACAGGCAACAGGACGTCGAGAAGATGAAATTCATGGTGAGACAGAAATGACCATGATCGATGCAGAAGAGTTTGTGTTTGTGTTTGGCTGCAGAAGGCGGACAGCCTGGCTACACCTCTGTCAATGCCCGAAGAGACGGAGGAGGCCGAGTTGAAGATCCCGTCGTTGATCCAGGAGGCCAAGGCAGAGGACCGAAGGATGGGCTGGGAAAGATGAATTGTTATCGATAGATCTGCCCAACGAGCCATCTGCCGGCTGTGGCTGACAGACAGAACACCCAACCATCCACCATGACCGCGTTGAGCGCATCGGCTTTCCCTTCACTCGTGGATGCCGTTCGCCCTTCAGGGAGAAGGTGAGTAAGCGCAGCGCGACACTTCTGTCCTTCATGCATCTCCATGCTGACCTGTGTGCGTTCTGACAGGTCATGACTGACAAGTGGTTGAGCCGAAGAGGTTTTCTTTCTACGTGTATGTATACATCATTCAGCAGAAACGGACCCACAAACCAATGATACTTCGCTCACTACATGGCAGACGGTCCTCGCATAAGCTCTGTCACAAGAATCAATCTCGGTCAGCCGTCCCTTCGTCCCCCGGCACGCACGCACCATATCATGCAGCCCATTCCTCCCTCTGTGCCGCACACTGCTCGGGCAGCCCCACCCAATCAATGCATTCGTTCATGCACTATTTGCACGCCCACACCACACGCACCACGCTGGCAGGCGAGAAGGAAAGTGACCTAGTAAAGTAGACAGACGGTGAGTAAAATGACATACCGGCAGAAACAGGCGGAGAGCGAATATATATTGTGTGTGTTACCCTGGACAGAACAGCCATTCCAACCAACCAACACACACGTGCGCACACACAGACACACACACACGCACAGATGCATGTACATGGTCAGGCGGCGACGGAGACATCGCAACCACTGCGTTTCTCACATTGTGAAACACTCTCACGGAAACACCGACCGCTCCATTCACGACCACATGAATCAAACCGAGCACTAGACAAAACTGGCGTTTTTTGCTCTTCCGTACTTTTTTGGACCAGTCTCACCTCTCTATGTTTCTTGCTCTCCCTTTCCCTCTCCCGCCCCCTTCCCCCTTCCCAAATCGAGTATGTGTGTGTGTTGGTGTGGACAATGATCAGATGTCCGCCGTGTGCAGGTCGAGGACAGCATCCGCCCTATCGTCCTCCTCCGCCTCCTCCTCAGTTGGCCCCTCTGTGCTGACTGTCTTCGGTGTTGTGGTTGTTTTCGGCTTCGGCTCGGGCGTCACATCACCCGTCATTGAGGTTTTCGTCGCTCCCAGCCGCTCCACCATGACGCTATTGAGTACGGCGACTGCCTTGATGAGAATTGTGGAGGAAGTGGCCATGATGGAGATGATGGTCGTCAAGAGGTCGGTTGACCTCGCGCCGTAGAGGACGGTCAGCACCAAAATGGGCACCTCGCACAGCGACGTCGCGAAGAGGGACGCGTGCTGCCGCAGTGTGGCCCTTGTTCGGATGCCGTAGGCGATTATGCCGCTTAATATGTCCACTTGGCAGAGGACCAGGACGGACACCCCCGCCCACAAAGCGACACCACGCGTCACCATACCCATTCCCACCGCCAAATCAGACATGTAGTCGACACTGCAGTGCACACCCATTAAACACACATGCGCGCGCACAGACAGACAGACAGACAGACACACAGACAAACAGAGACGGCGTATGACTGGATGCTGGAATCTATCTCTGTGGATATTTATTCACCAGGTCAGCAGGTAGGTAATGTACTTGAGCATTCGGCAGAACTCCAGCTCGCCCATCCATCTCACGCAGGGCACGTACTTTCGCACTAGAGCCATCAGGCGGTTCTGCCGCGTCCACATGTGCTCTGACGCCGTTAGCATGGGTGTCGGCGAGAATGGCACCAAGCTGTATGTGGCCGGCAGCCATCGAGACCCTCCCAGCCTCTTGAGCACATCATCCGTGTCAAACAGCCGTGGCTGCGCAATGAGGGCGAAACACGGGGAGCAGAGTGCGTTTGGGACACACACGAGCACCAAAGTGGCCGCATAGCCGAACGCTGCACACTCACAGGAGGAAGAAAAGAACGACATGTCCGGGTGGGTTCATCGATGGCAAATGCATTCATTCACCTGCCTGCCTGCCTTACGTGCGTAGAGCAAAATGGCTGCTCTTATGAGGGCGCCAAACATACCGGCGAGGAATTGCACGGCCAGGCTGCTGTACGTCCCATACGAGAACATGAGGTTGACGAGAGCCAGCAGGGGGTCGCCAACTGCAAACAAACGCAAAACGAACGGATAGTGACTGGCAAGTCGTTGCAACCTCTCGGTCTTTTGCCTCGCCTCGGCTGCCCTGCCCTGTCTGCCCACCAATGTCGGTCATGGCGACGACGCCAACCCATCTGGCGTCCGGCACAAGGACAATCGTGATCGCCCCCAACGCAACCATCCCCAGACCCGCAAGGACTGCCGGCGTAAAAGGAACAAACAACCCGGTTGAGGCACTGCCTCCCTCTCTCCTTGTTTCTTTCTTGTCTCTTACACAAAAGGGCCCAATAGAAGCGCATCTTGGCCGGCACGTCCGGGAGATAGAGCCTCAGCTGGCGCCGCTTCCCCCACACCACGGCGGCAAGATCCATCACCAGGTACTTGCCAGGGAGCCGTCTGCCGACCTCCTCATCCGCATCGATATCACCTTCATCGTGCACACAGGCAGAGGCGCTTGGGCTGGGGTCCTGGTCGCCAACAGGCGGCGGCGGGTGGTCGGAAACAACGAAGCGGCCATCATTGGTGGTTGAAGGTGGTGCCATTGGCGTTGGTGCTGCATCTGCCAGTGACGCACGGAGGGCATCAGTGTCGTACATAAGCACGAGAGAAGAGCAATTTGGAGAAGAGTACGGTTTCGCTCAGGGTCTACTAGTAGCTCGCCTGGCCCATGGCTTCCTTTCGTGTCGCAAGAGGCGTTTTGTGTTGCGCAGCCCTGGCCGTGATTCATCCATGTTTGTCGTTTCGACCATCGCCCCCGTCGGGTGCCTTGCATGTCGGTCCGTCTTGGCGTCGCTCATTGACTCATCCATTGTTGCTGAGAACAGAGGGCAGGAGCGATGCGGCGTCGTCTGCAGTCGGGACAGACTCCGCCCTGATGCAACGGTGGGTGACCGTGCCTGCAGATAGGCCGCAGACAACACGAAAGATGGCAAGAACAGCCAGATGTCAGTCACCTTGGACGCTCGCCTCCACTTCAGGAACAAGATGTTACATGTGGTCTACAGAGTGGGAGATCTCGACAAGAGCATCGATTTCTACACTAATGTGCTCGGAATGAAGGTACGTTCTCATGGATGGAGCCTGGGCTAGACGCATGTGCACCACTTGATGGATAAGGACACTCCCCGGGTGCATGCCTGCCTGCCTGCAGGTTCTGCGAAAACGGGATGTCCCAGAGGGCAAGTATACGAACGTCTTCCTCGGCTATGGACCAGGTACTACACACTAGCCTACGTACTCCATAGCAGCCTTTGTGTGTGCGTGTATCTGTGTGCCAGAGTCGAAGGGCGAACACTTCTCTGTCGAGCTGACGTACAACTACGGGGTGGACAAGTATGACATAGGCAAAGTAAGCAGACAGACAGACAGACAGACAGGCAAGTGGTTGTCAGACGGGAGTGCGCCATTCATTGTGTATCGACTCGCATTGGCCATGCGTGCATCCCCCCACCCACCCCAAATGTGTGTGTGTCGTGCGGTCGGTGCCGTGCTGTGCTGTGCTGTGCTGTGCAGCTGGGTTTTCTTGGTCTTGGGGTGTGCCTGCCCGAGTTGCAAGCAGTGGAGTCCAGCGTGGAAGGTCACCACGGGAGGGTCATCAGGAATGTGGAGGAGCTCGAAATAACCCCCTCTATGATACCAGATGAGCCCGTACGTACGTACGTATATAGTATGGACACCCATATTCGGCACCCATACATCACTCACAGACTTACTTGCCTCGGCAGCTCTGTCTGTCTGTCTGCCGTCGTGTTATGTATGGTTCTGTCTGTTGTGTTGGCTCCCTCCCTGTGTGTGTCCTGTCTGTCTGTCTGTCTGTCTGTCTGTTAGGCTGAGCAGTATAGGCTGTGGACGATGGCCACAGCTGAGGACCCGGACGGCTATCAGATTGAACTGCTACAAAAGCCACAGAGAGACCCCATGCACCGGGTATGTATGTATGTACCCACTCACTCAGTGTAATGCACATACATACATACACACTGAGGCACTCACTCATCACATTCCCCTATTTGCCTTGCTTTGTTTATTTACTTCCTTGCTTGAACTGCACTGTGTGCTGTGCAGGTCCGTCTGCACGTCACGCGTTTGGAGCCAGGCATCGCCTTCTACACAGAGGTGCTCGGAATGAAGGTGGGCCTGCACTGCACTGCACTGCACTGCACTGCACGCCAGTGCGCGAGGCAAGGCTAGTGACTGGTCCGGCGGGACAGACACCTAGCTTGTCTTTCTTCCGTCCCTTTCTGATGGATGGGTGGTGTGCTGTTGATGGATGTCTGTCTGCCACCAGCTTCTTCGAAAACGTTCTCTTTTGCCAGAGTGGCCGGCCATCTCTGTCTGGCTGGGATACGGTGACGATGAATTCGACCAGACCCTCCTCGAACTCATATACGAATTCAGCACCCAGGAGGTGAGTGAGCCAACACTAACGCTAACATCGCTGACCGACGGGTATTTGCTTGTACTCGGTATGTGGGTCTGTCTGTCTGTCTGTTTAATCCAGCTTGACGTTGGTGACGGCTATGGCCAGATAGCCATCTCCACCCCGGACGTCTATGAAGCGGCCAAAATCATCGAGGCCAAAGGTAAGGTAGGGGGCTTGGTCAGGATACCTAGCTGGCTTGTTGGCCAGAACACTTGCATTGCATGCAGCCCTTTTATTTATTATCGACAAATGGGGGGGGACAGACAGGCCATGTCGCTCATGGAGGGCATCCATCCCGGTCCATCCATCTACCGATGTTGATGATGTCTGTCTATGATTTGTTGTCTTGTATGCAGGGGGAGAGATATCGCGGGCTCCTGGCCCTGTGCCAGGCATCGGGACCAAGATCGTGGCGGCCAAAGACCCTGATGGTGGGTGGGTACCTACCGTAACGCGGAACCATTGCAATGACCGAGTGAATGTCCCTCGGCCGGCGTGTCTGTGTTCTGTGTGTGCATGTCTCCAGGGTACAAGGTTGTGCTGGTGGACGAGAAGGACTTTGAGGCAGAGTTCAACGAGTGAGGGGTCACTCACTCACCTGTCAGCCAGGGGCGACAGGGCGGGAGGGAGAGAGGCAGGCAGGCGGGCAGCCGGGTCAACGGGTAGGTCTTTTTCTAGTCTGTCTGCTAAGTGAAGTACAGCCATAATTCTGCCCGTCAGTGCAGGTAGGTAGGTGACCCCTGACTTGCTGAGTAAGCATCGATCGAACGTACGATGTGTGTCCTGCCACGGTAGAGACGAGACGTGTATGAATGAATGGCCGGATGTATGGATGTATGTATGACACACACGTCCAATGCATATTATGTCATGTCAGCAATTCTGTCATTCATGAATCAAGGAAGCAGCTGAGCTTCTAGGGTTTTGGAGGGACAGCTGCTCAGCTCTAGCCTATGTTGACCATCTTGTTGCCGCTACCCTTCGGATGATCGTCCTACACACACAGACACACAGACACACATCCATACACCGAAACAGGGAGATTCACCCCTTTACATACACCCATAGCGCTGAGCTAGTGAGTGAGACGGACACCACCCCTTGCCTGCCTCCCTACACGCACGCATGGCGTCTTGTCCCTCCCTCCCTCCCTGTCTCCCTCTCAGTGTAGTAGGCCATTCACCCCTACAGGTCTGTCTTACCTTCCAGTCGTCCCAGTCCCTGTCCTTTTTCTCCTGCTGTTCATCCACCCGGTCATCCTCCTCTTTGCCATGGTCGTTCCCACTGCCTTGAGCCGCAGCCCCCGTGTATGTTTGGACGATGTCGCCACCTGGCTGGGCGCCCATCTCATGCACCTCGATTGCCATCTCCATGTCGGCACACTGAGCCAATGATATCGTCGGCAAACCTGTCAACCAACACGGTCACATGCGGACAGACAGGCGACCAAGTAACTAATGGTGTGTGCCCCTGCCTCCCCTCCCCTCCCGTGCCGTGCCGTGCTAATGTAGTAGCGTACGGTGTGACGGTCTCAGTACCGCCTGCCGGTACAGCTGTCGCAACTCACTCGGCTGCCCCTGACATGACAGCAATCAATAAATCAGCCAGGCAGCAGGAAGATACAGACAGACAGACAGGGATTTTCATTCACTAGCTAGTGCACCGGCGGCCCCGGATCGGTCAGATGCAGTCTGTCTGTCTGTCTGTCTCTGTGCTTGCTTGAGGCGTGGCTGCACACCATGAGGCTTGCCAGCCCTGGGCGCTGCTGCGACGAGGCTGGCGCGGATCTTGTTGGTTCCTGCCTGTGTTGACGGGCCTCCTGGACCTGCCGGCGGTCAGCTAAGAAGCGCTCCAGCATCGGTAGCTCCTGCACAGAGACAACACAACACAACACAACCAGACAGACAGAGGGGTACAGCTGGCTGCACTGCACACTCTCTGGGGGGCCGGGCCCTTCAGTCAGTCAGTCACCCGTCTTATTTGCTCGACCTCCGCCATGGCGGCCGCCGCAGATCTGACAGTAAGCCAGCCATTTCAATGAGTCAGTCAGCCAGGCAGCGAGCCAGCCATCGGTCCCATCTGTGTTGTGCACGTCCGTCTGCCTGCGTGCGGGTGTGGGTGTGGGGTGCCTCACTCACCTCTCGAGAAGGGACACAAGAAGCAGCCGTTCATTTTCCTCGTCGACAGACTGCACAAAACAATGAATCAATGACACAGACAGCAATCCAATCCCGTCCGTCGACCGCACCGACCAACATCCTGTGTGGCTGTGACGAGATCGGGTGGCTTGCCTTGCCCCAGTCGTGTTCGTCGCGTTCCCCGTGCGGGTCGGCCACCTTCTCCCTCGCCGTGCGCTGACGTAACGCAAACAAACGCTGATCGATCGCCCAGCCAGCCGAAAATGCGGTGACCACACCCGTGGGTACATACAGACAGACAGACATGCAGACAGTCAGACAGTCAGTCAGACAGCCACCCACCCATCCATCCAAGTGGAATGCACGCAAACATCGCTGCCGGAAGCGTATACCTGTATCCGTGAATCGAGCTCCTTCTGCTGCCGATAGCGTTCAATCCTCCTGGTCCTGGAAGGAAACACAAGAGCAGTCGGACAGACAGACAGACAGACAGGCAGACTGACAGGTATCAAGGGAGGCGTACGTACGTGATTTCCCGCCCCACCTGTCTGTTGCTGGGTCAGGGCGCGCCGGGTGAGGACCTTCTGGCTCCTCCTCATTGTCGGCGCTTTGCAGCCACTGATCCACACCACCCACACCCAAACTCTGCATCCTTGCCAGAAAGCGATGGAAATACACCTGTGGCGCAGACAGACAGACACGCCAGTCAGTCAACCGATGAATCAGGTCGACTTGGTGTTGCATTCTTCATAGGAATGTGACGTACGAGTGCGTCGTTGAGTGCATCGAGTCGGTCGTCCACATGAGTGACTTTGGTGGACAGGTCGCCCAGCACGAAAGGCACCATGAGGTACTTGAGGGATGCCGTACTGATGTCGTCCAGCTCCTCGTTGTCCGACACGACATCCAGCCCTTCTGCCATCGCCGCCACTTGCCGGAACCGGGCCACCAGGCCCTCCAGACACTCGACACCAGATACACCAGGTTGATCTGTGACCGGCACACCACCCGACAGGCTGCTGTAGGCCGACAGGTACTCTGTGAAGGCCGCGTTAAATGTAGCGCTCAACTCGTTCATGATGTCACGCGATCGGGACGATTGGAGATTTACGGACGGAAAGAGGGGGGGTGTAGAAACACTGCATGCTTATTGTTCAGCGCACAAACGCCGTTGTCCGACTCGCCACAAAGACGGACACATGGCATGCATAATATAGGCTGAAGGAGTGAGTGAGTGAGCGACTGACTGAGAGAGTCAGCGAGCGACTCGTTTTAGGAATATGAGCATGCCTTGCCTCTTGTTGTCACGCAGCGACAGAGAGCCCATGAACTCAGCAGTCACCTGCCCAAGACTGCTATGATCTGATGAAGCATCAAAGAAGGTATACAGAGAAGTGGCACGTAGGAATGCGACCGACTGATGGACGACCAGCTGCAGCGGGCTAGGCGGCCTCTCCGGCTTGCAGAGGGCCCAAGAGTCGTGGCCAGTGGCACTGGAGGAGCAGATGAGTGCCTCTTGAACGCACTCGTACGCCGAGCCGCCGCTGACACTCCGACTCAGCAGATGCAACAGCCACTGCCCCAGAGCATGAGGGGTGTCATACAGCTGGCTGGCGTCACAGTTGTCCACGATAGCCTGCTCCACAGCCCCGGTCTTATCGATCAGATCCATCGATCGACGCACGCACAACAAATGAACGAACAAACAGACAGACAAGCGAAGAGGGAGGGAGGAGTAACCGACCGACCGACACAGTGAAGCAAGCAACACCGGAGGGGCTTCCCTTCCTCCCCTGCTCACCATCTGCTGGATGCTGACCGATGCACCCTTTATCAATGTGTCGTTGACGATCAGCTCGTCTCGTGTCTGCACTCAGAATTCACACGATGACCAGCTGCCTGGCGCCAGCGCCCTGCACGCGTGTATGTGTGTATGACTCTCTTCCCCTCCCTCGTGCTGCCCTCGTCGGTATGCGTACCATGTCTTTGCTCTGCAGGCACACACCAAACGGCACCCAGACAGACACATCATGCTTGAAGAACCCGCTCAGCAGTGAGGTCCGTCCGGTGAAGTCTGAGTTAGCTGACCAGCTGCTTGATGCTGATGGGTGGGGCGGTGGACGAGTCAAAGTCCATGCAGACTGTGGGCAGCAGATCGAACCTGGTCGCCCACGTGGCGGCGTCAGGAGCGCGTGAGGGCAGCACCAGCGAGGCCACTTGAACTGCATCGGCTGGCAATGAGGGCAGCTCCAGCGGATTGCACCTTGCGCGCCGAAGAAAGAACAGATCAGCATGGGGGTCCACACCTACTACGCCAGACGCTGCAGTGCTGGTAGTGCTGTTTTGTCGGGCGACGGAAACAAGTCCTGCGGCCAGTTCATGACGTATGGCAGCAATTCGATGGAACGACGAGGCAGAAGCGGTCACAAGTTGTTGCAGTCTCGTGTACGCGTCCTGCATCTCCACGCCAGGCGGTGAGGAATGTCCGGCCTCGACGGCTTCGGGAAGCCCATCCGCATTCAGCAACACGAGATCTGCCCTTACCGCCTTCGTTGTAAGGCTGCGCCACGCCATTCACAAGAGAGCCCCAATCGTTCCGTTCCAACAGCTCGCGTCTGCCAGTGCAAGCTTGGCGGTGGGCCCCCCCCCCCCC